GTTCATGTATTATAATTATGAGAATTGAAATACCTCGCGAGCTGTTAAAGATACAATTTTTTTTCGATATTAGCTTTTCTCATTTTTTCCATTCAAAATACGATGCCATTTCTTTACAGACGTCGACCGTAATTTGTAGAGAAGGAAGCAAATTTGTTTCAATGGTATTTTTGGTATCTACTTTTACCACTATTCTTCTACGAAATGTCGCTAAAAATGTTGAGTGTAGCATTTTCATTTGTGATTTTCCTCAAAGTGATTTTTTTTAATTTTGACTCTCACAAAGATATTTTTGGGCTTGAAATTGACACAGTTCATGTCAACGATATGACACAACCGTTTTTCTCTTGTGACTTGGCAGTTATAAAATTTATTTCAGTTAAATCCACTTTTGTTGATTTCAGGAGAATCGATGTGTCACATATCCTTAATATCTCAATATATTTAACAGGTAACCTGGGACTATCTGTAAATTAAAGTAATTGACGTCATTTAAACATATTTCTTCCTATCTGTTCATAATTCACTCATATGAACACAGTTATTCAGAATAGTTCAGAATTTATTCTTTATAATTAAAAAAAAATATGTATAATATAATCTCATAAAAATTTCAGCAGTCTGTTTACTCTTTATAATTTCTTACATATAGACAACATGTATTTTTCAACCATTTTTCATATTTTCAGATGCTTAAAATATTATTGTTAAATTCTTACATTCCATTGATATTATGAATTTGAAGATTTCTACTGAGATTTCACGATTTCTTCTGACAGAATTCCTGGACTTCAATAGAGATTTCAAGAGTTACTTTGCGATTTCTGGATTTATGTTTTCATCTTTTCATCTCTATAACAGAACTGCTCATTATCTTTATCCTCTTCTGCAATTGAACATCGAACTAACTCAAAAACAAATTTTCTCCAAATTTTTATTGTGGATTATGTCCCGTGAGGAAATCATATAAAAACACTTCTAATACTGTATTTACATCAATTCAATTGTGTTTGCTTGTGGTAATTCTTATCTGAATTAGCAGTAGTGATGACATAATGAATAATATTTTCTAAGTCAAAAACTGCATTTCATGTTTATTGGAAGAATGATTCATATTGATTACGTTTCAAATAGAAAATTTCCCGAAAAAGTTACTGAAAAACTTGAAAAAATAAGTCAAGCTGGACGTAATTGAAAAAATGATTAATAACTACGTGGGATATAATATGATATCCTTCGATGCGAAGAATCTAATTTTATCTTTTACGTCATGATTTGGGCTATCCTGTATATGAAGATTATAATTTGAAAAACACATTTTTGAGAAACGGTGACTATTCCTCTGAACTATCCTCTGAAAAAAAATTAAATTTTTTTTCAGAGGATTTTATGATATTGACCGTTTTGAAAATATTTTCAATAGTCTTTGCACCTTGGACTGCAAATAGAAAAAACGTACCGCTCCGATTTGCTCGGACTCTTCACGGATTGTTCTTCAAAATCAAAGGAAGATTGGCTGAAAAATTTAGCCGATTGCATTGTTCATATAATAATTTTCTATCTAGTGCATTATAGTCCTGGACTATTTTGACTAGTATTCTGAATGTGATGACGAGATTGAGCTGAAATTACTTGAAACCTTCGGGCTCATAAAAGCTGGAACGTTCGGATAAGGAGATATTGCTTCTGTCTGGACGAATTTCGATTTTCATTTGGAAGTAATGGCCGCATCCACTGATTCAATTTTCCAGAAAATAGTCGGTGGGAGTCCGCTTCATAAATGGGAATATTGAACAACTGGAAGAAATATAGATTCTTATAGCTCGTAAATTTTGCCTTTTATGTCTAGTTTCAAAACTTCATATTGGACTCTGTTCAAACATTATGCTGCAAGAGTGGCTATTCATAGGTGGAACTGATAAGTTTCAAATGGGTAGAAATATAAATTGATTCACGTTTGCTGTTATCATTTATGTTCGCATTCATCTTATTGGATGTTCAAAAAAGATCAGAATCTGTAGCAACAAGCTGTAACTTTTATAACTCAGAATATTTACAAGAAATGTATAATAAAAATTGGTAACTTTCTACAGATATAGAAAGAGTAAACTTCTTGTTTACACCGATAAGTTACTGCGTAAAATCAATATATTTTTCTCAAAGAAAAATGTGCTGTTTATCAGTAAAGAAGAGTTTTATTGATACGTTTCTTCTTCCTTTGTCACATTCGAAAATGTTGCCTATTGAAAATGAATTTTATAGGATACTTATTTCAACGTATCTATGGCTACATCTTCAGAATTCAAAATCAGCTATTTCACTGTTTTCTTCTCGAAAGTTGTTCTAATTTGTTCAAATTTCTCCGATAGCTGTCAAAGAAAATTTGTAATATAACGTCAAAGTTGTTGATTTACTATCTCAACATTCGATTTGAAACAAGGTGTAAGTGCTTTTCTTGGTTATTCAAATTTTGTCTTCAATCGAGGACCGCCTGCCCGGTACTGACGATGCCCAATAGGCTGAAACACCTGTCTACCGGTGGCTCTTAAATTGAAATCAATATAGGAATGATCAGAATAGTACTTATCTATTTTATGAAAAAGTGTCAATAAATGAATTTCGAGTATTCGTCAAAATTTTGACTGCATTTCAGTTTTCTATTTCCTTAGGAAAAACGGAAACGATATTGCCTGGCAATGTTCAGAATCCCATTAAAGGGTTATTAAAACTAATTCTCAGAGGAAAGTGTAAAGCCAAGAACCTCCTTTTCAGCTGATTACGAACCGTCATGCGAAAGACACGAAAAGAAATAGCTCCATCCCTAACCGAAATATCATTACAAATCATTTCGTGTCGTTCTTTCCGAAATATTATAAGGACGTCTCATGAATTCCAAATCGGATCGGGTTGGTCTTTTTTTGTCGTCGATATCGAGTCGAAATCCCCGAGTAGTCTTTTTTACATAATGCTGCTCGATCCAATAACCCGACGATCGGAACACACCCTTCGACATCGTTTATGACGGCTTACGTTTATTGAATTAACCCCGGTTAAACGCGGCAAGAGACTTTGTAAGGTTTCGAGATCGGTAAGTAGAATTTTTTAATGCAGAAGTTGACATTGATTGCAGAAGGAGTTTTATGTTAATTTAATGATCAGGACAAAATCCTATCATAAGTGATGACTTGCAGATGAAAAAAATGAATGCGAAGATACGATTCCACAAACAGATAATTCTTTAACCAGGTTTGATATAAGAGTTTGTAGTGGTGCAAGTAGGATTTGCGATTATAATAGTCTTGGAGAAATAGATGGTGTTTTCGTGAATATCCAAAACTCTTCTGTGTTTATATTGAGTATGTTTTTGGTGATTCTTCTTCAAAAACGTAAAATGAATATGTGTTACAGTAAGGTCTCTTTTTTTGCTGTCCACATTGTAACAATCTCAGATTTTCTTGATGAATTCATTGAACACTTGATAATCTACTGGTCAAAATAAATTAAAATTCAAGTCGATACCAACAATAAAGGGGACCTGGCTAGATGCCGCAAGGTCAAACCCACAATATATATTAAGAAGAATAACATGTGAAATATGTAATAATTGTTATATTGTACCGACGAAATTGCGAGTAGTATATGGCAAGAACACTCTTAGGTGCACAGGAGACTATCTGCGGTGATCACTCTTGATGTAAGAAATGCCTTCAACAGCGCAAGTTGTCAAAAAATCCTTGATGAATTGAGCTTGATTAATATCATCAGAGTACCACAGGGGTCAGTATTGGGTCCTACACTGTGTTCTATAATGAACTACTTACGGTGGAACAACCAACAGGAGTTACGGAAGTAGGTTGTTGTAATGCAAAAGCGATTCCGGTGGGAGAATCTCCTGACCGCCGTTTGGTGGAAGGAGCACTCTATGAAGATTAGTGTTTATGCAATCTGTACTTCAATAAGTACCAAATATATTTTATTTACTAAAACAAAATGTCTGGAATTTTGACTAATATAGGTCAGTATTGCTCGTTATGAATGTATTCCATCCTTTTCACATACCTCGGACCTCCCAAGCTGAATGCATATTCCATGGCTCCATAGCAGAATATTTTGCATAATATTATGTAAGTATTTGAGGCTTTCAAATATGAAAAAATTATTTATATAATAATAATAATAATATGTCTTTATTCATCACAATACGACGTACAAATTAAATAAAATTCAAAGAAATGATGAATAGGCGGAGTTCGCCAGAATGTCATCGTCAAGTCATCCAGGTTTGGAGACCAGCTCCCCTACCCTTTTGGCTGATTGTTGGTCTTGAGAGGGACCAATGGGTTCATGACTGATTGGTGACGGCATGAAGTCCTTAGACATCAGTGCCGCCCTTCACGGGATACCCCTAGCTGGCTGGGGTGGGATGGATGAAAAAGTTATTCATCCGTTAACGGGGGACATGAGGGCCTCATTCGACAGAGTGTCCGGGCCTTCTATATCGGGAGGGGTCGTCTACAGCATAATCTGTGGCTTCCCNTACAGCTATTTGACTGGCGGTTTTTTTAAATATTTTATTTATTTTAAATATTTCGATTTCTTATGAAAACTTCCACAATTTTTTTTAATCTACATGCTCGAATAAAAGGTCATGAAAAGTTTGGATTATATTTGTCAAACATTGCGTGAAGCTACTTATTTCATCACGTACAAAACTAGTATAATTGTGAATTTGCTAGGAAGTACGCACTTATCGACTAATTTCATCTAGGCCGAAGGTTTATTGGGACAATACATTTTCAACATTTCTAATCTATTATACTATAGTTTTTAATCATTGAATTGAAAATAATAAAATTCTGAAGTGATTTACCGAGGCACAGATCTAAATTGTTTCATTGTTTATTTTGTCAAAGTATAAATGTAAATAAACAGAAAACGTTATTAAAGTTATTGAACGTATTATCTTTTCACAAATTATTGATGCATTTTATTTGTTTCAGCCCGAGTAACACGGCGTTAAGTTCCCCGGAAGAAGTAAAGGAATATTTGCTTACGGCTGGAACTTGTAAGTGCGGTTTGGAGTGTCCCTTCAAATACGACAACGTGTTCAATTTCGACCCTAAGGTAAGTGGCCAGAAATGTTGGAAGTTGTGAAGATTGAAGTGAATGTTCGTTCGAATGCGAAAGCTTTCATTTATCGGATGAAAGAGTTTGTGATACTATAACCCCTAAAAAAATTTACAAAACATCTGCTGTATATAAATCTTCATCAGAATCACTTGGATGGGTGAACTGATGAATAAGGATCTTCTGATAGTAACTGCGAGTTTTCATGACTTTGTAGGATCATTGGGCAGTTGCAGTGCAGTTGATATTTGTATATAATAGACCCCACGTTGGGCGCCATCTATGTGTAGACAATCAATATAGCATAGTCTAAGATCCGGCTGCGAGATAATTACGTTCATCGAGTATATGAACAAAATCTATTTTTTTCATGAAATTATCAATAACTCTACACAGTTTTACTAGGTTGCCTGACGAAATTTGAAATGTAACTAATAAATTTCTCAAAAATAACTTGAACTACTTGTTATTGAAATAAATTGTATTCCAGTTCAAAGGAGTCGGTTTATAGGGCTTGAAAAGTTTTGGTTGCCATGGCACACCTGGCAGCAACTTTTTCGTTCGTTACGTCGTTACGCTAATACGTTCATGACATACACATTCAACTATTATATATCAAATTGAAGCAATTTTTTTTACCATGGTAGAGTCCCTCTGCCAATGTAAAAGTGACCGCAAATGAGGGTTGCTAGCTGATAAAGATAGATTAGAGTGAAAGAAAGTTCAGACGAAGACGGTGATAACCAGTGATACTGGTATTCTAACTTTACTATGTGTTTTGGAGCTCCTATAAACTTTCTTGTTTTATTTAACTCTACTTATTATTGAAGTTGAACTGTTAAAGTGAAATATTTGAAAAATAAAGAAATATTTTCTTCGTGGTTAAAACGACAATGTGCTTAATTTTAATCAGGTTCCATTTAATAAATGTGCATCAGTGTTATTGTTTTCGTCACAAAAAAATTTAAGTACCACGATATTTTATTAACAATAGAATCTACACAGTATTCTGGTAGTCGGACCTTTTAAAACCTTATTTCAAATCACCAATATTTTAATAAAATTTTATTCAATAACGAGTAACTCAAGTTATTTTCAAAGAATTAATTGATTAATTACATTTCAATTAAACATAAGTCATTTCACTTATTCGTAAATTCATGAAAAAAAACATGTGCATACACTCAATGAACATAGTAATCGCGCTGCCGGACCTCGTATATGAACCTTGATCATAGCTTACGGATCCGATGTTTTTAAGATAATTTTATCAAAATCAGGTTTCCAAACGTTTTTTCTCTCTATATAGTAAAAAAAAATTACTTGACAAACAAAAGGAAAAGAAAACATTTCCATCAGAAAAACTGAACTTTCTCGAAGGCAATAAACGAGCAAACACTGATAATAAATGTACCCCCTCCTGAGGAGCGGCGAAAACAAAGGTCGACCGATGGTGGACAAGGATCAAATCACTTTGCTGGTGCTCCCATTTCAGCTATTGATCCCGATAAAAAACGGACGGCGGCGGCTTCCGTTCACCTCTTTTCCGTATCCGCGAATGCAATCATGATTTATCGCCGAATTTAGGGCAAGAGATAAGGGGGAGATGCGAGAGAAGAGCGCGCCAATACACACACAATAGTAGTCGACTGGGAATTTATTCGTTGTTTGTTTTTCGACAATTGATTATTGATTCTGCATTCCGGGTGTTGTTTTCGTAAGGGAGGAGGGCAGATCGCCCGGGGTATTCGACATGGATTTCGTAACACCGAGATTATTTTGCGGTGTGTTCGAATATTTACTGGCGGCTGAAGACGAGAGTTATATTTTATGCGATTGTCAATTGAAATAAAATGCTAACAGTAATTTATGAAAACTACATTTGATATCAAAATTGGATAATTTTGTTAATTTCTCTTCAATGTTTTTCAAACTAACATGAAGTTGAATCTGATGTAGCATTGAGCAAAGATTATAAATCAAGATTAGAAAAGGCAAGGTTAATAGATAAATTCGGTGTCAGAAGTGGGACTTGCTTTTATGTTATTGTATTTTTTCTATCAATTCTATTTTTTTAATATTTCAATAACAAAAAAGGCAAGTATTAATACATGTTGAATCACTGTTTCTCAATATCATAATCTAAAATTTATCCATATATGACATATAGCCAACTTGATGAAACCGTTAGTTGATGAAGATCCATAGTAATTTCATATACATCTTACGATTTGCTCTCCACAAATTTTATTTAAAGAAACATATCACATGTTTCGCTAACACTGTAGCTTTTTCGTAGTGTTTAAGTACTATAAGTTTATTCTTACTGTGATTTTTATATACCCTACGTGATCAAAATTGACACTAACTCCTTAATTACTTACTGGATCAAATTACGTGAATCATCCACAACTTTTATATACCTAAGGTACATCATAAACATATACATAAGGTACATATAAAACCAGTGAACACATTGCGAATAGTCCTCTCGGTAGGACGATTATGGCGACCGTAGAATGGTCAAAGCACGCGGTACGTTGCCAGAACAGATCACCCATTTTTATGAAATGATTTTTTTGCACGTGTTGTTGAATGCTAAATCCGACAGACTGGATAAATAACAACTAATTTGACAGATGTAGTTTCAATAAAATAACCGTTTTCTATTGTCAAAGTTCGAAAGTCCTTGTTGGAAGACCCTGTGAAAGTATTTGAAAACTAAGAAGTCAGCTATTGAAGATATATAATTAATTGTGTGGCTCTCGGAATTCACAATAATTTGATTCTAATCTAAATATCTCGTGCCTCTAATATATTTCTGTACTATACGAAAGCTCAAGTCTACAGAGTGTAGGCAAATAGTCCGGATTGTTATCGACAGTGAATTACTTAGCAACAAGTAGTGCTTCTGCAAAATGTATTATTCATTTTTAAAGCAGTTCAAGGAAAATGTGATTATTTCAGTTGAAATTATTCCTATTATGTTTCGAGATATCTTGTTTTCATACGCTTTGTGAAGTTGATCGTCAGCTCATAATAATGAATAGCTGAATGATTGCGAATGTTTTTCACCTTTGCTGCAGTGTATCTGTTTTTCTTTCGAATATTTATTATAGTACGGTTTTGTTTTACTGATCTGTGAATATCAGCATAAGTCACATTCGTTCGATTTGATATTTTCACTATTCCTTCTCTGATGAAACTACCCTTATTGTCAAATTTTTATAAGCAAACCCTTAGTTTCAGTTCATCTGACAGTTGGGAAACTTTTAAAGCAAGTCTGAATACGAAGAATAAATTACTTTTTTTGGGTTGACTGGGAGCCGAAGCTAAACGAAAACGACAACGACCTACACCGTGATATTAATTGGAAAACAAGAAAGCGTCTAAAAAGGACCGATGATCCGGTTTGCTCTCGCGTATTTAATTAGTTTTCCAAATTGCAATTTTCCCCTAAATCCTCTTTTCGCTCGATGAACTCACCTAACTTTACGAATTAGAGATAGGAGGAATATTAATGAAAATTAAATATAATCCCTTCCAGGATTTCATAAGAGCCCTTTCGATGATTAAGGGGAAAATTAAAAGACATACTGTTTCAATAACAGACTCGGAACAGAGATTAATTTGTTATCTCTGTAGCATCAAAGTGAAATTTTTCGCAAATGGCGAGTTCGTCCGCTAATTTATCGACAAATCTCAAAAGGTTGAGCAGAATATTACGAAGATAATGATCTGTTGAATACGTTTCTAAGGTAACTTTACTATTAATTGAAATTGAGGAGAAAATTATTCATCTTTTGTTCATAATGGAATTTTATATGATTATGCATTACTGTAAGCTTAGGTTTCTGTTTGGAATATTTTTACTGCTGCGATTCCATTAGCTACATCGTTTTTTGGGGTGTCAAATTAGATATCAATATGTCTTGGCACAATCACCTCATTGTAATAGCAAACTTGTTTAGAGACTCATTTCAGCAATTTTTATTGTTTCACAAAGTCGAAATTAGATCTTTAGAATATTTCTCAGTCGTTCGAACGTTTTCCCCTAAACATGACCTGACGTTGCTAGATTCTATTAAGACATTGCAACCAACTTTGACAGTCTAGACCAGTGTTCGACTAGCTTATTGAATTGTTTTCAATAATTTCAGTCCAATTTTGTAGAATAGCAATACAGTAAAGAATTCAGTACCTGTCTTCCCATTTTGGAAGACATATATATATATATATATATATATATATATATATATATATCACAATGTTCAGAACAGTAGAAAACAAGATATGATAGAATGGTTAAGGTCTAAAAATATTTATTTTGACACAAATATGTTTAAACCTGATTAGTAAAACCTTATTAAACTCCATAAGCCAAAATTTAAAACGTTCGAGATAGATGAAATTTTAACTCAACATGGCCAAAGTATCTTCCTATGACCCATATTTGAATCCCTTCGAAATAGTATGAGCATCACCAAAGCAATACGTGGAACAAAAATTTTGTCTTTTCATGTTAGGGGTGTCCCAACATTTATGTGAAACTTTTTTGATGAATTTAGTGCTGAAGAGTGAAAGAAACGCTGTGATAACGCAAAAAAAGTGGGAAGAAAAATTCTTGGAAGCAGAACCTTTCATTGACGAAGTTCATTTAGGTGAAGATTCTAGTTCTGAAACTGAAGAAGAAAATAGTGATTGTGATTCTGACTAATTTCTTGTGCATTTATTATTTATTTTTCGTCAAATTCAAATAAAATAATTATTTATCGTATAAAGTTATTATTATTAATTTATTTGTCATAAAATTGATAGACATTTTAAAATTGATTTATTATTCACAATAATTTTTTTTTGTTTTTCTTAGGATACTCGGATTACCCGAATTAATTCTTTCATTTCTTTCATTATCTTCTTTCACTATATTTATTATAAGAACCCAAATCTGTTTAAAATCTGTTTTTCCATTAACCAGCTGTCGCATCCCTATGAACGACAACCCTCAGAAGTCGAAACTTGTGCGA